ACATATATGATCGGGGCTCCTAAAGATATTCACCAAAGCAATCGATTTTACTTCAACGAGTTACTTCGCTTATTCAAAAATACATGAAATTTCACATAAAATAATAATAATTATAATAATATTTATAGTAATTCCAACTAAGCAAGTTCAGTTTTTCACCGCTAATAAAATACCTTCTGTAAAACAAAAGTTATATTTGGATTGTGCGCGAATATACGGTTGATTGATCGGTTGGAAGGATTAGGTGTATGAGTATTACGATCAGATTCTCCGACGAATAATGTAAGGCGGGGGTGTGTGGTAAAATGACCGGAACAACCCATGTGACATGGGAACAGCAACGGTTTACGAACCCGGTTTCATGTCCCGTCCCGAATCAAATTGACCTCTGTCAGTCGACCACGGTAAGTCGTGGTAACTGTCGGGTACAGACTGCGAAGGAAACATGTAGGCGCAAACGAGCACACAGGGAAGTCAGACGGTCATATGACAGTCATGCGATCACACTCATTTTCCGAACTTCAAAGTTGGTAATCCATTACAAACGATGCATTGATAGTCATATTTAAATCGAACAAAGGTGTAAAAATACAAGACAGAAGTGAAAATTTTCGTGTGAACACTGCCATATAAATAGTTAACATCCTATTCCATACGTCATGTGACAATCGGTCATTTTTCCATCGATGAACTAATCGCTTTCTCTCGCATATCACTCTTTGTGTAGGTTTATTTTTTTACCAAGAACTGTGAACCCAAAACTAAGGCTAAAATGACCCTAAAACTGCTTAGTTTCATCTACTGCTTTCCGTGGCGGCAGCACGAACCGAAACTGTGATCCCAGGCGGCATGCATGTACACCCCAAGGGAAGCGTTCGTGTTTGGTCCTATACTGAATGATCCGTGTGGTATTCGCACAACACACACGCACGCACACACGTAAACATGATCCGACATGCGTAAAATCACAATTGTTTGATATAATTGTGGCCCATCTATGATTACATGCCGATGCAAAACCGCTGAACAAAACAATAGTCATGGATACCCATAGCTCCCCGCGTGTTTGTGCGAGCTCAGCGTGTGATAACAACTACGTACGTATTCGACACGTGTGGTCCG